AGTATTTATCTTTATGGGTACACAAAAACACAATGTTTGCTGGACATAACAGCCATACTCTCATCATAGATTCCCCCACACACTACCTGTCTGTCCAGCTGCAGCAGTGTACGTAGGTGTAGAGTGTAGGGTGTAGTAAATTGTAAGTGAGTGTGTGTGGGTGTAGGGTGTGTGTGAAAGTGTAGGGGTGAGTATGCCAGCGTTTGATGTATGTGTGTGTGTGTGTGTGGGGGAAGGTTTGGGTGTACGAATGTGGGGAGAGGATTGTGCACACGTCTCTCTCTGTCTCAGTGGTCAGTATACGGTATACACACTGCCTAGGCACTGTACCACACACACACAATATCGCGCCCACAGTTCTGACACTATACTCTCCCACGCCTACAATCATGACACTACAATATCCCACACACACACACACACGTCTACATACCAGATTACTCCCACGCTCGCAACACTACAATCTCTTTACGTCTACACCTCTCTCACACACACTTTTTCTACACCCACACCCACTGGTAGTACCCCCCCCCCACATACCAGTACCCTCCCACACATTAACTCCTCCTCCACACACACACATTTCGAAATAATAACAAACTATTTATCATTATACCTGACCATTTATAAGGAGTTTGGCCGATAAGGATCCTTCCAAATTTCGATATATTACTCGAATTATTTTTCCAGTAAGGGGGGAGGGGGGATGGTAACCTATAGTGTATCCTTTCATGTTGGCCAAAGTTCAATAAAAAAAGTACTTAACCTCATTCCCTGTCTTATCAAAATCCCATGTATAGCCGTGTATATATGTAATAATTATGAATCCTATAAAATACAAAATAGAAAACACTGTAACTTTCGTGGATTCAAAGGGAAGTATCCAGGGTTAAAAAACATCTATATATTCGCCACAAATACACCAAGGTCAATGTCACAATAACCAAAGACAAGCTTATAGTGTGTTATAATCTCTATATACCTCACAGTGCTAGTTCTGAGTGACACATTAGCTAGTTACAATAGGAGGCGAGGTTCCTTATCATAACCTGAGCTATTTATTGTTATTCTAGACATTAAAAGCTTAGGAACTCTGGTCTTTAATTCCTCTGTTTAATATTTTATAGTTCTGTGGTGAATAGTATGAGTTAAAATACTGATACTCTTACGCCAACGTTACCTTATACCCTATTATCACACCTGTACTGATACTGTCACACCTACACTGATACTGTCATACCTACACTGATACTGTCACACCTGTACTGATACTGTCACACCTACACTGATACTGTCATACCTACACTGATACTGTCATACCTATACTGATACTGTCACACCTACCTACACTGATGCTGCAACACCTACACTCCTCGTGGTCCAAGCATGTGCAGTTGCCTAATAAGTCCCCTTGGGCCACATAACACTGGGGCTTCAACCACACCTTGTTCCCCTACCCACACACCTCTATACCCCCTTCCCACACACCCCTATACCCCCTACCCACACACCCCTATACCCCCTACCCACACACCCCTATACCCCCTACCCACACACCCCTATACCCCCTACCCACACACCCCATATACTCCTACCCACACACCCCTATACCCCCTACCCACACACCCCATATACTCCTCAGCCCTACAAACATAGCCTTGTTGTTGTAGGAAGGGTGGGAGGGAGACCAGGCATCGAATATTCACTTCTAAGAAACACACTGATAAAACCACTACAATATGCTAGGTAGCCTTATATTTACTAGAAATTAATATATATCTAAACGCCAATAATCTAGTATCTAAATATACAGAATATGTGTGGGTAAATATATTGATACATACTTACAGAGAGAGAGAGAGAGAGACGCTATAATTTTGATTCATCTTCCATCATCCCACACGATTACGCTGGCCATCACGACAGACCAACAAGCGCCCCAATCCTTAGTACAATACCATGAAAGATCACCACAACTGATAGATGACGGGCGGGCGAGTAACTGTTGCCTAGTCTTGTCTCAGTAGTGTGGAGGTTCACGCTAGTCGCTGTTGATTATTCGTCTTGGCGCTATTCAGAAATATATAATCTTTCCCTAGATTCCCCCCTCTTCAGTTTTAATGATATTACAGTTTATTTCATCAGAGACAAAAGTTGCGTCATTTTACTGATCTCCAAAATGACACCGAATTGCATACAGTGACTTAAGTGGCGAGTGATATTTCGTGACGTCTATTGCTACGTATACATAATCAATAGGTTCTCAGAAAATGGACAGGAAGTGCACACACACACACACACACACACACACACACACACACACACACACACACACACACACACACACACACACACACACTTATCTTTTGCCCAGTTGTAAATAAATTATATAACCGGAAATTTAATAAGAGCTATGAGAAAATTTAAAGTGGTTTTTGTGTCACGTAAACAACTCCAGGTAAGATTATTGTCTTCACTAAGTTCAGTTCCAGGAGCGACACAATCCTTAGCAGAACCTCAAACCTCAAATATAAGACGTGGGAAAATACAATAGTTCTGACTATCGAGCACCAAGGATAATGTACAGATATGGTGGAACCCGACGTAAGTTAAGTTTTATTTGTTATAAAAGATAATGTTTATATCTTGCAAGACACCATTACGGCATTTCAAATCTTCCTGGCAATGGAGAATTCAAAACACAAACGTAACTTTGATGTTCGCGCCAATATAATAATGATAACCTTGCGCGTCTCAATGGTACAAGAAGGTAAAGCATTGATGTGTCTGGGTTGTATTTCCTTTAAACGAGTATTTATGAAATAAGTCAATGACATAAGCTAAACACACATCAAGGCATGTTTATTGGGTGTAGTAGCCTAGTCGGTCCCAGCCTATGTCGTTTATTGCAACAGTTGACGTGATCGGCCTCCTCAACACACACAAACAACGTATTTACGACTGTTCGGGTTAATGTGGCGAGCGTGGAGGTGTTTCAAGTCCACGTAATCAAGCCAGGGTAGTGTCAGGGTAGCATTCACTTACTAGAACTAAAATGTTGAATGAACTTTTAATATACACATAACATACAAATTTTTATCTAGCATTACGTCAGGAATTTATACGTAACACTGTCAACAAGCGCGTCAATAGGATGTGCAGACTTAGTACTGTATCTAAATACCTCCACTTCTCACAACACGTTTTATATCTTGCGAGAGATTATATCCAGTTTTACAATAACCCAACAAGCTTCCATTTCTGGACCTAAACATTAAACAACATACAAAAAAAACAATAATCAGTAACCAGAACCACATGCTTGACTTTTACCTTACACCAAATCACCAGACGCGCAGGAAACAAGTAAATTTTTACACCCCAACTCCCAGACCTGCCTCAGGCACCACTGTGAATACGTACACTTGGTCCTAAGCTTCATAACATCCCGAGGTGAATAAAAATACACTTCCAATACAATGTCAACAATTGAGCCCAGACCTCGAGGTGCCCGACGATGGCGGCAACAAATCAGCACAAATATGGAGAGGCGACAGTTGGTGCCAGCAGACAAGTAGGAGGGCGGCGAGGGAGGGAGGGAGAGAGGGGTAGGCCAGGGTGAGCCCCCACACGCCTGCCTGCCTCACTCGCCGCCACACACACACACACACCGCCCTTTCTCCCTCTAACCTCATTGGCTTTATTCGGAAATTCATTGTCTACAAAAAATGGAATATTATACCTAACCATATCTGCAAAAATATAGCAAAATATTTCATCACAGAGTAAAAACAATGGTTTTATCCGTTTTCGACAAACTAGTTCCACACACACACAATATCACATCACACCAGAAGACATAATATAACCCCATACGCTTTTTAATAACAAATTTATGAAGTGGTATAAAGTGCGAGGTTATATTTCTCAGAAAATATTAAGTGCTGAGAATACACCAACGATGGCAGGTCAGTAAACACGAATGATAATGCTGAGGAGTTGCATGTCTGGTCCCAACACCCACACTAACTTCCAAATCGATTCGTTTTATTGGTGGGATGTGAAAATATCTTGTACTTTATATGTGTATGTGTGTGTGTGTGTGTGTGTAGTGTCTCTAGGATGATGTATCTTAATAAAGTGCTCCCACCTCCCAGTAAACCGACACTTACTAGATATCCCATTCATATATCTTTTAGTAGCTAAAAAAATCTTGGCATCAGGACTAATTTTTTTTATAAACGTCTAATTCATAAATGTAACCGTAATGTTTATGATAAATGTGAGGACTCGCTGGTATATGTCGCAAGGACTGACCCACCATTGTATCCGATCGTGGACGATAACTTGTCCACCAATATTCTCACATGCTAATACCTTTTATCTCAAGTATTATCAAACGGATTTCGGCCTGGACGACACAAACTCCTTTAACTTAAAATACTCGGGGTACCAACAGTCACCCCGCCCACAACACTCCCACACTCACGAGGCAGGGCAGGCGAGTACATAACACGTGATAATCATAAATAACATAACCCGCTATAATAAAATGATACATATTAAACATTAGGCTATAGTATTATCACGTAAGAGTTCATATTTCAAACCATTCGCTAAAATAAATAGGCTAAAGTCCTAATCGTTTGCTTAGCCTACACACTCTGCAGTTCACCCGAGGCCTAAAATGAATTATCAAGCCGTCTAAAGACCAAACAAAACCGCTTTATATCGGGAAACTCTAGATGGACCTCTGGAAGCTTGGAGAACACCCTTGGGGCCACTATGAACATGAAAGAAAGAAACTTCACTTGAAAATATCTCTAGTGTGAGAGCTAGTAACTTAAGTCTTGTGGATAGGAACACAAAAGTTGGCTGAGCATTCTTCAGGGCAACAGAGGTCCAACGAAACATCCTCCTCTAATGTTTTCTGAAGGAGGCCAGCTTGGGAGGGATGCAGCCTCCTTGATAAAGCACCAAGGACAGCCGGCAATACCCACCTCTCCTAGAGTCCTGGAGAAATCCGTCCCGAGGTGGTAACTACAGTGAGCTGTACATGTTCACAACCCCATGTCCAGTAGCGTTGTTTAGTCTCGGCCCATGTCAGAGAATTCCTTGTCAAGCCTCATGCCAGACCTCCCACTGAAATGGGATTATGAAAGTGCAGATAATGTTGTTACCTGAACCATCATCACACCAGCTGAACCGTAGTTAGCACAGCTAAACACTTGGAAAACGACGTATTGGAGTGTAAAATCGCACACTATCAATAACACAACACGAAAAACTGGGTAGCTCAGCTTACGACACACTTCTCACTGCAAAACGAACGATAAGCACTCGTAGCTTCTCCTATACGTGGAGGTGGAGGAGTCCGCAGATCAACCTCTAACCCTACTCGGACGAGGAGGTGACAAGAGTGAGTCTAGACTTAAGTGAGGATGGTTTTACAACCGATCTGCGGCGGGCTTTCAGATTAAGTGAAGAGCAGGTTGCGCAATACTATGCGCCTTCACGAATCGTTAGAGCATCTGAAGGTCACTGGCTTCTCATGCTCCTTTTAAAGTTAAACCAACTACTGGAATATTAACTGATATTCATATTAGCCCCAGCAATCTTGATTCTGGAACCCAGGGAATTCTAAACTATCAACTTTTACAGGCTCTTGAAATAGGTGGCAAAAAAAACATGATGTATGAAATAAAGCTAACTTAAATAAGAAAAATACACAATAATTATATAAATCTTATATAACTAAAATCTGTCGGTTAGAACAGTGTCGTTATTTAGACCAACCAGACAGATGATAAATGGACACGCCAGAGTTGATCCACAAAAAGGAAACTAAACGAAATCTATCAGACATAAAACTATTACCACTATCTACAGAAATTCCTCAAAGTAAACACCTAATTGCCATATCTAATAATAATAATGACTTAGATATTGGTACAACTGTTTTAGTGTTAAGGTTGTGTCTACACAGTGATACGTGTGTGTTAAACTCTTCTCCTGAGACGGTGGACCGACGGAGTAGCCTTACAGTATTGTCTTTCACCCAGCTGTGTAACCTTAGTGTAATAGTCCCAGCTGTACAAGAAGATACCAAATGTTTACTTTATATATTTATCTTTATAAACGATAGAGCTCACTAAAGAACGTTAGTACACATAATATATAGTTAGTTATATTATAAAAGGCAAAACAACAATATTAGTCTCCGAATAATTAATGAAAAGTAAAATAAATGAGGACTTAAGAATCTTGAATACTATAGCAGTTGCTGTAGCCTAATTAATATTATTCGCATATGCTGTAAAGGTATTCAGAATCACCATTTCTTGATCACTGTTTCCCACTATTTGAGTGGTGTTTTAAGTTTAAATTGTTAATCCACTCCAGATGATCAGACTTCCTCCACTCTTCAAATAAGACTAGGGGATTTATTTAAGGAAATTGCGTATATCATTAGCCAAACTTTAAAAGAAACTTTTATACCCACTTCTTAATATGTTTTGACTTCGAAGAGATTTAATGGCTATGAAAATAACGTACTTATAATTGAAATGTTTTTTTTTATGATCCAACAGAAGATGGGTCACACTCCCCTCTACATTTCTCTTTCGCTCACGTAATTCACTTCCTCCATCCTTCACCTTTCACTTCACTTTCTGCTTCCTCCTCCACAACCACCATCTAAACGTGAACTTTTTTAGAATGTTTTTTGGGGTCACGTTAACCTTTTGTAGTTATATACTACAGCTGACACCACAAGCCTTTCACCAATCACAGCTTCCACTTTGCTGCCACATAACACAGCTGTATCACTGAATCACTGTTTTATTAACATTTATAAATTCCTCATTCTCTCCACTCCCAGACCTTTTGTTTTTCCCCATCAAATTACACTTTCAGAGCTGCCTTGTGTTTGCTTTCATACACAATATTTTAGTTATGAGTCCAGATACACTGATGACCACTAGTGGCCATTAGACTACACGTTAAGGACAGAACGCCAGCAAGTGTTGCTTGGTTGGGGCCGAAGGCGAGGTTCAGTGGGAACACGACAAAATATTTCAGATGAAAAAAATATAAAAATCTGTAGTCAAAAGAAACTTTCTAAAATATACTACAGTATCTCAATAGTGTTTAACGTCACTAGAATGATTTTAAACTTATTAAATTAAAATATGTAAAATTTATTTAATTATTCATGGCACATTGAAGCCTTCGTCTAGAATTTATATAAGTTGTAGCCCACACAGCAGTGTGTGTGTGTGTGGCAGTGTTGGACGACACTGCCCACACCCCTCCCACCTGGCCCTACGTCTACGTGGGAGCGTCCAGTCACTGCCGTCCACAGCCACTAGTGCCTATCAATAACCTATCGTGAAGTGCCATGTCTCTTCTAGTCACGGTCTGTCTTTTTTTGATGCTCATCGACAAGAAATTATGTCAATTATTCTAAATATAGATCTTATAAGTTTATGTATATTAAAGATTACTTGGGCCAGCCTTTAAGTTGTGTGGGCACCGCTGTGTACGAGCCAAAACGGAGAGGGAGCCGGTCCTCCCACGTATGCCAGCCAAAGGTCCTTTCTGAGCCGCTGTCCCCTCCCCAAGGTTGTCATCTTATCTAATATGCTCATCATTATCCTCCGCCAGGTCTACTTTTCAACAGTCATTTACGTTTTCAAAATATTCACTCATGCGGTCATGATACTGTAAATTATGACGGAGTAACAAAGGCAATGGTAATAAATATTGTTCTAACTTTTCACAAACTTTCGACATCACTTGCTAAAGTTTATTTAATAAAGCATCTTGCAGAGAGTTCATCGGGCGATATACAGTAATAATATCCAGATACTCCGCTAGACAGACAAGGGCCCAAGTAACTACCCCCAGTAACGTGCAACAAATGCACTTAAACTTATCATCTAAAACTCTGGAGTCAAGATCATACCAAAACCAAATCACCTCTCAGAAAACTGTCAATCCATGTTTTAACTTTAAAAAATGTTCTTCGGGAAAATGTGGCCATTCTGACTCTTTCCCTTGACAAAATGAAACTAATGATCCTTAAACCCCTGAAACAAACCCAGATAATAGTGTTAACGTTTATTTCTTCGTTAATGAAGATGCTGGGTAAAAAGGACACAATTTACACAATAACATAAGAGTTAAGCCAAGCGCACTAGGATGTTATCCCCCGACAGCGTAAATATACGTCCATGACTTCGCTGGTAACATCGATATTCACGCGTCACTTTGCTGACATTAGGCTTTGAGAGAGTTCGCTGATCTTTCGCTGCAATACATTTGACCTAACTACGTCATTGTTAACGTTATTTTATGAATTTTCAGTTAACGAGGAAGATAAATTTAGCATCATACAGGACCAGGAAGATAAATTTAACATCTTGCATGACCAGGAAGATAAAATTTAACATCTTACAGAACCAGAAACGTATAATTACCATGTAATAAGTAAGGTCAAGTCGCAAAGACAGACTATCAACAAGAACCTTGACGAGGCCAACATCGAGAACCAACAGCTGCAGCAGGGCGATGGATTGACGCCAAAGGGCTACTCTGTCAAGGTCATCCCACACCCTCGACCACCAAAGCCACTACCGTAAACAAACCTTCAAGAATTTCATACATATACAAAAATCTTACACACGAGACTTCCAAGATGCTAATAAACGCTGGGAAATACATTTTTTATGTAGAGCTGAATAATCCTATGGCTAATAATGCAAAGAATGGTATTTAGTGTTCGTGGTGGATGTGATGGTAGTGGTTGAATGTGATGGTAGATGTGATGGTAGTGGTTGAATGTGATGGTAGTGGTTGAATATGTTGATAGATGTGATGGTAGTGGTTGAATATGGTGATAGATGTGATGGTAGTGGTTGAATATGGTGATAGATGTGATGGTAGCATGGTAGATGTGCAGTGGTGACTGTGTGTGTGTAAAAGTCGCCCATCGTGTGAGTCGAGACGAACGAACATGTGGCAACTTGCAGCGTCGAGAATTGAGGACATCTGAACGCTAATGACACGTGATCGAAGATGATTATAAAACAATTACTCATTACTGATGATGAACGTGACTCAAATTGATGACAACCATTACGAAAAATTACTGGTGATTACAGTAATTATGAAGCTCTCCTTACTTAAATTGAAGGCATGTTTTAAGGGTAATTATCGTTATTTAAATCATATTCGGGAAAAGTATAATAAAAGTGAGATTTGATGCGCGTGTGTGTGTGGGGAGGGGGGAGAGGTGCCTACAGTTTACGTTTTCTGTATACAAATCGTAGCCCTGTCAAAGCTTTAATATATTCTATACAGGGTGTTTATTGAATCAGTCAGTTACCTATAAAAAGCCTTAAGAAGACTAAAAAACATTCATAAGACCGATATACACAACCGACGGAACATGTTATGACTAGGATAAATATTACGCTTCTTGTACAAACACCGTTACAAGTTCTGACACGGGTATACTTGAGAAATACACGATATAACCACTAAAGTAGCAAGTTAAGACAGTGAAATACTTAAAGGTTTCACTGTATAAACAATATAACAACAGTTCTAATCACAAGAGCAGTCGTTGGTGTTTGTATCATATCAAACGTTGACCGGAAGTAGGTGTTCAATAGTGCAATAATTTACAATAACAAACCGACCTAAATAATAAACAGATCCTATAATTTATACATCTCTGACAAATGATTATGAATACAAAACAAAAAGCAACTAAAGTTTTATGGTTGTAAGTGGGAAGCGGCTTATGTGCCAAGGGAAGAGGGAGAGAGGTCACGACCCTTCACTTTCTAGAACATATTGCAAGGTCACCAACCCCTCCGATGAGAGACAAATTCTAATCAACCGTCTACCTTCACTTTGTTTTGTTGGGGTAATGATACAATGTTGTCAAGAGGTATGAGTATATACAGTATATTAATGATATTTTCTTTAGTTTAAGATTAATTATGCGACCGTTTCATTCTCACGTATATTAAAAAAATTGTTTGTTTTTCAGTCAATATGTCACCAGAAGGAAGAAGTGCTGATATTTTGAGAAGAAAGAGAACTTAACCATTCAATAATTACTTAGATATAATTTCTGGATTTAAATGTCTATTATATGATAAAATATACCGACTACTCCACCCTTCTTGAGAACATCACAGCAGTAAACTGTAACACCAATCAGCATATTTGCCTAATAGCCACCACGACTAGAGGTGGCCGACAGCCTATGTTAGGATCACTCAATTGCTCCTGATAGTCTTGTCTCGGGTTATTATGCAGCCTAGTACTGTTCCAAGTATATATTTCTTCTGCACGGCAACTTGGTGATGTTTGAGACTATCTCGTGTTTGCGGTGCTTGACATCTTGAGTCTGAGCTCCATCCTATATCGTGTCTTGTCTGAAGAGCTGTCAGTCGTAAGGCCTCGGTCTACTTGGATAATTAAGACGATTTAATACTGGAATAATCCTAGTCATTCTGAGTTACAACTTTTCTTATACAGTAATGTTATATCTTCTTGAAGGTGTGGCACTGTTTCCCTACTTATACACAATAGTGCCCAAGGCGTACACCGACGACACAAGAAACGAGTGTTATACTCCACTCGGCCCCCTGCAGAATCTACTGAAATAAAGTAACGAAGTACCGCACTCCTACTTTATTTCATTTTTTTATAAGCACTATATATTGTGTGTGTTTACATATTAAGCCCAATTAGCTACAGGATTATCCTCTGAAGTACAGCGGCTGTCAGCTGATGAGTTACCGCAGGTAAATGAGATGTGACCATCGGCACATGGAGTTCCCATTACATACAGTATAGTGCGTCATGCTTCGCTACACATTATGGGTCGCCGTCCCCTTCCGGATTTCTTAATTGCATAACAGTGTTTGTATTACCACACATAATTAAAAACTGGCATTACTCTTATGTTTCTCAGTAAAAAAACCATTCACATTCATATAAAACGGTCTGGAGACAAACTGAAAACTTGTATACGTGAAAATTCCAAAGCGCGTTTTCTATTTGTAGGTTTTGAAAAAAAAATACAATAACACACATTATGTAACAGAGGTTGATTAGAGTACTCACCTCCCAGGAACAGTGATCGTAGAGAATGATTTTCATGAACACTCACGGAATATGAGTGGCGAGATACCCACTACACGGTACACTCTCGAAACCAATATAAATGACACCGATTCGTATCCATTCTAGACTTGTTTACAATGAAGGACCCGACATCAGCATACTTAAAACACTTAACATTGTTTCTCTACACTTACTCAATATACGTCAAAATGTTACTTGTGGGACCCTGGAACAGGTACAGGTGGGATTAAAGGTCAAACCGAAAAAAATATTCACAAGCAATGAACATGTTATTGCCATGGGCCAGCAAAGGATAGTGGAACTAGCGGCCCAGCATCTGCTACAGCGCAGTAAGGAACTGTAATAATTACTACAATTATTATGTTAATGACACTTCCGTCAGTAATGACAGACCGCCAGCCCATCATCTTCACGGTGGTTCTAGTAACTGTTTTTAATTGTTCTGCAGCAGTAGCCTCCTAGATCAACTTATCCTATAATATGGTGCTGCTGCTGCCCCCCCTAGGCTAAGTCGTTTGCGAGAGAAACGTCATAAAAGAAAGGTGTCTTAGAATTGTTTAACCTATTGACTGCATCCATAAAATCTCAAAATCGCTTGGATGGCAACAAGTGAAATTTTACCCAAGAAATGTAGTCCTCGAATTATGAAGAATATAATGAACAACGTCAAGTGTAATGAAGACCACGTGCATACATGACTATATTATCAAGCCACAATCAGCAAAAAATGTTGAGCCCTGTCTTGATTTCAATGCTACCGACAATTTTTATATATAGAAATTGAATATACTTACTGAGGGTGTCACGTGAGTAGTGCAAACTCGGCTGAGCAGTTCTGGCGTCCAGCTGGGGAGAGCAGAGAGGAGTTTACGAATAGCTCGGGGTGGACACACTTCAGAGTTTCTTATATATTATCCTAAAACACCCCTCTCATCCTGCACCACTGATCACGAGTCATTCCGGCTGTATTGTGTCAATTACCAAGCATCACACCAATTCACTTTGTTCAAGGGGAATCAAACATCCGGTGAATGCCTTTCTTGTTTTAACCTTTACAAACAGAAAAAATAATCCTTCATTATTCCTTTTACTCCCTTGCTCTTTCAAAGATGATACACTGTTTAATACCAATGTAAAAAAAACTTTGTCACTGTTTTGTCATTTCAGTTTAAAATACCAAAAATACCAGGGTAACACATTTATTTTCAGGTTTTCACAATGATGGTTCTACACTTCACGCCTCACTGTCCAGTTCAATACTATCTCTCATTGACAGCTGTGCGTTCTGGTAGTCCCGTACAAATAGGAAATTAGTCCTCCATCTACTGTATATTACTGTACGTTTGTTATTTCATTGCTGGTATTCGTGATCATTTAATTTCAATATAGGAACGCAAATAAGATATATATAAATGTTTAATAGGAAGCCCCGATATCATTTATCTAACGACCACCACAAATAAAGGTCGAAAATTGGCAAAACCAATTCTGTAACCTGTTCAAAGATCCCCCAATTAGGTCAATTGAGCATCTGACATAAAGACTTACCTACCGTTTACACCCTGCTAGACAATCAAACCTAGTCGTAGGACCACTTCCATACTTACAAACGAGAAGAATGTTCACTAAAACGCATAGGTCACAAATTACGATTACTTCCGTTTTGTTAATTTTTATCATTGCAAGGTTTTTTTATGAAACCATCATTCATAATAAGGATAAACTCTTTAAAACAAATCGTCAAATGAAATATAAACATCAACATTATAGATTCGCAAAGAAAGTCATGGTCCTGTGCAAGTTTCAAAAACTTTAATGTTGCACTTCACTTTTCAATGATAGTAGTTGCGGTTACCACCTAAAACTGACTCTCTACTTTTTACCCTCTTCGCCACTGATCGGCTCGTTAGCCGCTCGGGCGATCGGTCACGTCTCTTGTTACGCACTGTTAGCAAGTACTAGGCATGCACCGGCTCCTGAATGTACCGGAACCTGCTCCAGTGTTGGTCAAGTCTGGTCTTGAAAGAGCTCACACTCGGTGCCGTCACAACACTTTCTGGCAGATTGTTCCAAGAGTTCACAACTCTCACTCCGAAAAAGTTTGTCTTCACACTTTTCTGGACCTGCGGCTTCTTCAATCTGGAGCTGTGACCCTTGTGGGGCGAGCGTCCGCCAGCTCCACTTGCACTAGAACCCCGCACTACCCTGCCGTTAAACGAAAGAGAAAGGAGGGCGAATATTACACGTGCGTTCGTTTCCGTGGTTGGGAGCAGACTAGTGGAGGCGGCCCGGCGTATACCAGGCGAGTTGAAGCTGCTACAGACCTCACAGCCGCCAAGGCCACTTCCAAACAATTTAGAGAAAATTCATTAGCTTGCGTGGGTAGTCAGCGACCCAGCCCGACCCTCCTGCTGCCCTGCGGTCTTATCTCACAAGAATTTCATGCAGTGGTTGTTTCGTTTGTTAATTATCTGAGCATATTAATTGAATTTACTCTCCATGGGGATATAATGCAGAACATATTATACGATTCATAAATTTCTTTTAATTGTAAAAATAGAATCATCGCTATTCCTGAGTGTTGTAACACGACCTTTCCACTGGCGTGTACTGAGTAGACAAATCTGTACTGTAGTGTAGTGCTAATCGGAGGTTGTCAACTTGCCACATTATTATCCAGCTAGCGCTCGTTTCCACCTTGTGATTTTAAGGACTATTAGCTCTAAGTGGGTCTGTAGTGGCCTCTTAGTGGAGACTGGCATCTTCTTAACAGATACTGTATGTACCCACTTGCTATACTTTAACAGCATTAAAGAATGCAGACGTCAAATTAGTAATGGATTATGATTCCTTACCCATTCTGTTCTATTTCTTTATTATATTTAACTTGTATAGCTGCGTCAGTAACAGTATATATACAAAAACAGGTTGGCAATCTTAGATCAGCTCATTGATAGTTATGACCGGTTCATGGTTTTGTTATAAGGTCAATGAAATCAGAAGACAGAATGATCAAGTACCGTAATTGTCAACGTTAGAATAGTTCAACTGATCTTGAACGAGTTTCAAAGTGACTATACTGTACTTTAACACTGGTACTGTATAATGTAAATACTATAATGCAACACAGGTCAATTGAATTATGATATCCTGAAAGTGCTTTATGTTATCTACTGAACGCAAATTTATCAAAACTATTTTGAAAGCAAATCAAAACACTGACATTGTAGACTGGCTGCGTCCAACACCATAGATTCCTAGTCAAAATTTAGATCGCTATACAGACTGTCTGGCACATAAAGATGAACGATACCACAGCTTTGTAGTTGGTGAGATGACGTGAAGAGCCCCACACGAAACAAGTGACATGGGAACTCACGCCCAGGTGGCTGTGCGTAATAATGAACCACGTTGAAGCACACCTGTTCTCTATATGGTCCATAATAACTTATTCACGTATAATGTCAGCCGCAGTTAATAAGAACTTGTATATTCTAGTTCATAAATAAACCATTTTCAGAGAGACAGAGCAAGAGAACACAACCTTTCACCATGGAAGATAGAGTTATTCTACCTGCATGACTAACCCACGCTACACAACAGCCCACACCTCACCCACACCTGCACCATTTGTAACCATAGCAACCGCGTAGCACTGTGTTGATTGGTCGAGAAGACTATGACGTTTTATAACTTCTCTGTATTTTGATTGGTTGTTTCCTGTGCTCGGCGGAGAAGATAAACACTGATCAGCTGACTAAAGGTGTTCGAGATGTTGTGTTCGCGTGCATTAACAAGAACAGTTTTGGTAAGAATTTATCCATTATACATCGATTAATTATTATAAATGATTAATAACAGATACAGTATACCAAGGATATATCATGTCGGGTCTTCCAGCTTAAGAGAAACTGTTTTAAATTACCATAATTCTCAAACACATAACTAGTTGAAATAATTATCAGGGTGACGAGATACTTGTATTTTATTATTGATATATACACGTGTTATATCTAGTATGACGCCTTGGTATTAGTTTTTTGGCGGGGTCTTGATAAAAATTTGGAAGAATGCCGCTAGCTAAATAAATATGCATGTATCTTGTTAATAAAGTTGTTCAGAATTGTGTTTAAACATGTGTATTGGATCCCCTCTGTGCTGAATAAAATTGTCTGGTGTTGATGCCATTCTAACTTTCAGAATTTCACCTACCTATATTGAAGGAATGTTGCAGTCATCAATATTTAAAGGGAAAAATGATCAGAAGTTGAGATTTGTGGTAATACACTGGAACAAGGGCACATTTTAATCAGCAAAATTAAAACGTTTTAATGAACCAACTAATCCATGCTCAAACGAATATAGCAATTAGGTGATTTATGTCTGTTAAATATAAGATTACCAAGAAAACTAGTATTTTATATTATGTTAGTTTGGTTAGGTTAGGTTGGGTTGGGTTACATTACATTAGGTTAGGTTAATTTGGTTATATAGTGTAGCAGTGTCTCGTAGTTCTGGCGTGCCAAGTTAAAACAGAGTACGGTACATGATTTTACACCCATTTAATACAAGATTACTCTTTCTTTATCTATTACTTTCTTTTCTTTTCCCCTATTTGTCAATAGGCACCACCTTATATATGTATGGATGAAAATAAGGTAAATATGCATCTGACTATTTTTGGTGGATGTCTTCGTATATTTGAAGCAAAATATGGTCCTGGTTAGACTGAACATGTCAGAACATCTTGGTAACATCAGATCATCGGTAAAGAGGTACTGTACACACCAAAGGATGCACAAGCATGTAAATTAATGATGTAGTTGACAGATATGATTGGGCCTAACACATTTTGGATGCCACCCTACTGTACACTACAGCCCAACTGAACCAAAAGCCAGTTACATCAAGTGCCTGTCTTCTGTGAAGTAAGAAGGTTGTGATCCACTGTTGTGTCATTTCGGCAGTTCTGTAAATGTTGAGTTTACCAAGCAGACCCTGCTGCCATTTGGCATCACAACAATTGTGACCAAGTACCAGGTTGCTGATCTGACTGACTTTCTGCCTCATTTACCCACAATTGCAGGATCTCAATTCTATCTATTACTTTGACAACACAACAAATGTATCATTTCACACTCTTGATCTGTTTTATTTTTTTCATTTCTGTATTTTTTATGGTTCTTTTTTTCGCCCCCGATGTGGGTCGGTGACTTGTGCCCGGGTGGGCTAATAACCCATTAAAAACAAAACAAATGATACTGGTGCAAAACTATATAAAATATTCTCTTGAAATCCATAAAAGTCTGGTATATGCATACACGAGTCTAGCACTTTCAATAGTTAGAGCCCAGTAGATCTGACATTGATAAAGCTATGTTGTTTGTCACTGAGGAGGGAGTTATCTGTCATATGATCCATGATATGGTTCCCTATAATGGATTTCATAATATTGAAAATAATTCACTTGCTCACAGGTTTGCAATTACAGGCCAATTTTTTATAGCCTGTTTTATTGCAGCTCAAAGGATTCAAATGGGGCCACAGGAGTTTTTCACAAACACCTATGGTACAGTCTCGTCTCTTGGTCTCGCAAGAAAATGGAGTGCGTCACATAACTCTGGCCGACCCCAAAACAAGGTAATGGTGAAGATAATCCAGCTTAAGCTCTGTTAGACACAAGTACTGTTTAGTCTACCGACAGATATTAAGTTTTCATTGACATTTTGTTCTTACTTTTCTTCATTTAAAAAATATTTTTAATGGTATCATTGGTTGCTACACAATACTGTAGTTATGGAAAACATCATTGTTATTGTGTTAGTATAAAAGTAAGAAGAAATAGGATATTTTACCAGAGTAGTTAAGTGATGCAGTACTGTACTGTGTCATGAAGAAGGGAGTTAAACTTTAACCTCTTTCAATCTTTAACCATTAAAGGGGTAGAAAAAGAGGAGAGAATGTGTGTGTGTGTTTTTCAGTTCGAATCCTGAGAGCATTATTAAATTTCATAGTACTGTATGCTGTACTGTACTCAAAATCAACCAAACATATAATTCAACAAGATACAGTACAGGGGAGCCCAGCTTACCATTGTATATTTCTTCCTGAAATACATTAAATGAATGAATATTTCCATTCAAGATTTAATGTAAATAGTTGGGGGTGGGGGGTGTCAAACATGCAGTTTAATACATGAAGTCCATCATTTATAAACAGTTTATAATAACAACTATTAAATGAATTACAGTATTATCATAACTGATATATTCATTATTTCACAGAAATTCACTTTCTCTACAAATGTTGGAGGATCTGCAGTCTGCCATAACTCAAGAAGATCCTTCTCTACGATGTATTGTACTTGGAGCACAAGGAAAAGTATTTTCAGCAGGTCATAACCTCAAAGAATTGGTTAGTTGAAGTAAAACTTTGCCTCAAGTCACTTAATATACAATACTGTACTGTGTATGTATTTTTTTAAATATTCCTTATTCATATTCCCACCTCACTAAAGTATAATGTACAGTACAGTATACAGTGTACATTTGATTAGAATTTCCTTACTTTTAATTCCCCAGTAGATTTAATTTTTACAAAGTTTATGAGGGATAAAATTGAGTGAAGTGAATTTTCCAGTGAACTCTATCTTTAAATCACATTTTCAATTTACTGTAATACTATGCTCTACTTTCTCACTTCACAAGACACATAAGGAAGGACGTAACTACCACCAGCAAGTTTTCAACACTTGCACAAAATTTATGCTCACCCTTCAAAGTATACCAGTCCCTGTTGTTGCCAAGGTCAATGGCATTGCTGCTGCTGCTGGCTGCCAACTAGTTGCTTCCTGTGATATTGTTATTGCAACTCAAAATTCTTCATTTTCGACTCCTGGGTAAGCCATTATGCAAAGATGTTTCATTTCTGAAATATATTGTCACAGTTGTTACAGCTAGAATAAGTTAAATGTGTACAAATTTGCCTCAGGGCTTGAGGCTGGTATCTTCACCCCTTATAATTTTCTTACCAAAAGAAACTGTCTATTGTAGTGTTTACTCCATTAGGTCTATACATGTATTTAGTGAAACTTTGCTAATCTCTACTAACTCAAGTGATCTTAATTTACCCACATCCCAAATCAATTTGGAGGAAGAGAAGAAGTCTAAATTGCCTTAAAAATTTCCAATCGGTTTAGGGAAAATAAGAGAAGTGAGCATAGAACACTTCAGCCATACCTGCAGGGAGGACTAAATCAGCCCTGCTTAATGAGTATCATCAGCACTTCACTAGAGCACAAGTAATGAACTCATGTTTTGTCAAATTTGGCGAGACAGACATGGCCATTGACCACCACTCACTTTAATTCATTTAAACTCTCTGTAGCTGTGTGGCAAGGTTTTAGACCAAACATTACCAGTAATACTACAGTTTATGTACTGAATTCTCAACAATTTTCTCTTGAAATGAAAATCATCAGATCTTATTGAGGCTGAGCAGGCAGGTTGTGTGTGCTGTAAGTCTGAAATCTAGCAGGTAACTGAAGGAGTATAACTTCCCTTATTGGCAGAAAAAGGTTTTAAAGTGACACATTCAATAAAACAGAGTCTGTCCTTTTGACTCCGGGAACCTAAATCCACATTGGGACTTGAGCCTCCCATTGGTTAAATCTGCCTTTCATGTACAGTACAGAAAATGTCCTCTGTGGGGCATACAGGTTATTTAGTGGTAACATAGATGTGGCAATAAGAATACTGTACATAATACAATTTCCCGGATGTAAACGGGATTACCTAAGTTTTTGATACTGTATTAAGTTAGAATTACATATACGGTAAGCATTATTGGTAATATTTTTAAAAATAAACTTGTGAAGCAGTTAAGATTTTTAACTTAATAAAATTTCCACTTCTTTTTAACAGTGGAAGTGTCGGTATATTTTGTTCCACTCCTGGGATTCCCCTTGTGAGATGTGTTCCACGGAAAGTGTCGGCCCACATGCTACTCACAGGTTTGCCTATCACAGCAGAAGAAGCTCTACGAGCTGGATTGGTGTCAAAAGTAGTTCCTGAGGATGAATTAGGTATTTAATGTAAAAAATAATTATGTTGTATTTATTCCTATGGGCAACATACAGGGGTATATAGAGAGAAGGTGGATGGGGATGGATTTTTTATGGGTTTCTAATTCCTTATTTCTTAGTGTAGTTATAACTGTATGATAACATTCTCGTGTCAAATATTACAATACAGATACAGTATACTGTATATACACTTGTTATTTTGTGATCTGATACAGTACTTCACTTTCTTTATTTTGCAGTAATGTTCCCTAAATACTCCTATGTTTCTTTATTGTACAGATATACTCCTTTATTTTGCTGTGTATAGTCTCTTACCTCTGTTGTAAAAGGATTTCATATTTCAGTCTTTAAATTGATTGTACAGAAATCCAGGCATACTGCATCCAGTTTATCACATGAGTGTATGTTGTCTTTACAGTATTCATTATTTTCACAGAAGCTGAAACTCAGAGAACAGTGGATGCAATCAGTCATAAAAGTAGAGCAGTAATTGCACTTGGGAAGCAATTCATGTACAGACAAATGGAGATGGGAATTGAGGAGGCATACAGGTGAGATTTAATTTCATGAGTACAGTATTTTTGATAGTTTCATTATACAGTACTGTACAGGTATATATTTTGTAAAGTTTAACCCATCCATTTCCAACAAGATAATATGGATTTGCTCAACTTGTACAGTACTACAGTTTCATATAATATCCATAGTAATTTAGGAAAGCAATCCCTCATCAACCACAGGTTTACCGGCCGAGGTTTTGAGGATCCATGTTTTATGTACAGTACTGTATTGTACAGTCAAGGAAAGGCATTTCTATACCCCCTGTGATATCCCCAGTAAAGATACATAAGATGCATAAATTCATATCCATATACAACTGCAAAGGATGACTCGAGGTGCAACCCATGAGACAATAGTGGAATCCCTTCTCATCTCTACTACTGTGACACTGCCACATCTTGACTGGGGATATCACAGGGGTATAGAAACACCTTTCCCTGACTGTATATTGTTTTATTAAACATGGTATCCAGCTTTGAATTGCTGCAGGCTTCTACAGTGACCACAGAAGATATTTAGCTCAGTACGGCTGGAAGGTTCACTGGATCACATCTATTAAGAGGTTCATATTGCTTGCTTCGTTACGTAAATAAATGTTCCTCAAACGACAATTATTTATCATCTACCACCGCCACGCCCTCTTCCTTCTCTAACCACCTTAAATCAAATTACTTATTTTTATCCTTCATTTGTACACTGTATGGCTTCCTACTGTCTTGGCATTAGTCATTACTTAATTAACAATCAGTCTTATTGTGTAAGTTTGTGAGGCTGGTTGAAGGCAGTGGCAGCCTCCCTCCCTTCCTGACTAAGTTTGGGAGACCTAAACATTACCACACATAAACAATTCTGTTCTCTTTTTTCAGTCAAGGAAGTTGTGTGATGGTCAACAACATCAACATGGTGGACGGGCAAGAAGGAATAAGCAGCTTCATTGAAAAACGCAAACCTAATTGGTCACACTCAGATGAATGAAGACATTGGACGAGGACATTTTATCTAAGACTACTAACTAACAAATCTCCTAATATTATTAAGTAATGAATCAACAGATATTTTTTTACATGAAGAATTTTTCCAATACTGTACTGTACATGTAATACTGCAGAAGCTTAAAAGACTAAAAATGTAATTAATATGCAGTGAAAATCAGTGCCAATTGTAGTGAACATATTTTTATGAGATTATGATAAATGGTTATTTTATTAATTTCTGGTGAAGTTAAGACTTTAATTGAGAATACTTAATATCTAATAGACATGCAAGTACAGTACAATATGTATTTGTATAGATGATTCCCATACACAGTTACATGGAAGATGGTCATGAAAATTTCCTTATATTCACATTTTAATGAGTACCAGTAAATAGTAAATAATAATAGTATACTGTACAGTAATAATACAAAATGTCTAACAATAGTATTAAAGTATACTTGTATTAATATATAAATAGGACAAACATTTTCTTGATTACTGATTGTAATTGTTGATCCATGTTAAAAATTTGTATTGTAAACCCTGTGTATGGATTACTTTGTGTACTGTACTGTACTATATTTACTACTGTATAGCACAATAATAAAAAATAATATACATTTAGCCTACGTATTTAACCCATTACTGGTCAAATTGGTAGATCTACGTAAGCAAGTGGCCTTCTTTGAGCAGTCTATTACTTAAATCTACGAGTTTGACTTCTAAAATTCCTGTGGTATCTGAAATGGCCCAGAAGGATTAATATACAGTATTTAAAAAGACAAATGGCAACCTCTCAAGACCCATCAGCCAGTTTCAACAATATCTGTCCCTCCAAAACCCTCTTCAAAGTCAAATGATGTTGTTAGGCAAGGTGAGAAAGGGAGACGGAGAGTGAAGTGAGGCGGTCATGAGGGAAAGTACAGGACATTGTTTACTGACCCTACCACCACTACACCCACACACACACATCCGCTTCCTCCTCACCAATTCCCTAGTTTGCTGCCTTCAACACAGGCTCAGAAATATGCCCAGACAACTTGTCACGTATGGAAAAACAGTGTTATGTGAAAAGGTGCACAAAAACGGCACTGTATAGGTGTTACTGCAGCAAGTGTGATTGTTCCACTGTGCCTGATGTCCTGCTTTGAGCAATATTATACCATCATAAACTTCAGAACAGAAAAAGAAACATTGTAAATATGTAAATACTTATATAATTATAGTTAAAATAAGAATTTTGGTGAAAAGAAAAAGATATATAAGTTTGCAGGGTCACATGTGTGTGTGAGTAGTAATAATGTAGATAGTAAGACGTGTTGTTGCCAGTTCATAATGTAAGCAATGTTTAGTGTGAAGCAATAAACTTGTATAACTGATATACTTATCACTGTTATGAATAAATTAGACATACAGTACTGTATAAAAGTGATCAAATTATGTGAGGGGAACAGTGAAAATACAAGTCCAGGAGTAGAAAACATGACTCAATGTGGCATAATGTAATTATAATATTACATCACGCAACCACAAGCTACACTCGTCATAACTCTGGCGCGGGAGCTTCAAAATAGTGAGTACAGCCAAAATTTGTTTTCTCAGATTTTATACACCAAACTGCACCTTCTAAGCCCCCTCCAAATAATAATTTTTCACCAAACGGGATAACATTTAACATTCCATAACCCAACCAAGTACAGGTTAAGTACTGTAGTCTAATGGGTGGCCATTAGGCAAATAAAGATTATGCCCCTGAGTATGAGGTCACCTCTGAGCTGAAAAAAATTGTATGGCATTTAGCCAAATAAAATACTAAAGTGGCATTCCCATATTGAAGGAGTTAGTGGACATAGTCTACTGACCCCTTGTGTACAAGGCCCTCTTGGAGCCGAATAAAATCGTCAGGTACTAACCAAATAAAATATTAAAAGTGGCTTCCTCATAGCAAAGGGGTTTAGGAGCTAAATGGCATGTGGTAAACTAATCCAAATGGGCCTGAACTATAGTCATGTTTATTCATGTTCATTACATCTGCTTGAGATCCAAATACCTGTACTGGATGGCAGTGATGTAGTCGAGACCACTAAATCCTAAATTGAGGACTAGTCCTGCCTTCCTCAAGGGTAAGCATCAGACTGGAGAGTTGCCATTAGGAAATTACAGCTAGCCCTCACAAGTATGGAAAATTACCATAAAATTTTGACAATGATGACCCTGGTATAAAGGTCAAGGGATACTCTTAATTTTGCAATTTATTTGACTTGTGGATTCCAAGTTCAACTTGGGGCCCTATGGTCTAAGTTTTCAACACAAAGCCTTACTGGTTATAAAAAGTCGTTGATCAAACTGTAAAGTTGTTAATAAAGGGGCTACAGAAGCAGTAAGGAGTATGCATAAGAAGAGGAAAACTTCATAAAAGTGTAAAAAACATGGTGAAAATACCTTACCATTTTTTCCTTAATTTACACCAGTGGCAAATAAAAAAAATTGTGATAAATAAATACAAACTACTGTATACAGAAACCAATTTAATTACAAATATTATGTACACAAAATCTATCTACAAGGTTTTGTAGTAATTCACAATTGGGAATATAACTACTCAATTGATTTCACTTCTCACTACCGGTACATGAATTTTCAGAATTTACCTTATCAATACTCATCAGACTGGGTGTCCGTGGTGTTATTGTCTTAACCATGGGATGACAAACACCAATATTATTGATTATATGTTCTAAAGTCCAGTGTTTACGAAGCAGTGCATGGTCAAGCGTCCACGGTCCATGGCGGATACAACGCATCTGTGTACATACTGCTGAGGTTTTGAGTTTAAGCCCAATATCGTGAACCAGAATTTTAAGAAAAACACCAGTTTCATTGATGCACGCAACCTCTGAAAAAAAGAAGACTGTCTAAGGTCTCAAGAATGCTATCTTATTATGGTACTTATACACACAATGTATATAATGTTTTTTTAGCATCCATGCTAATTTTCACCGCGTGGATCCGAGTAGGAGTCATTAAATCTATCACTGAACTACTTTACAAGTTCCACAACCCACCTACTGTCTAACTTTACTCTTAACAAGTTAGTGTGATGGTTGTAAAGGTAAGTCTCACTGCCTGGTTATGACAGGATGATATAAAGCAATTAAACTAAAGTATTAGTTCCATCCAGAAATGTCAAGAGGTCTAATTTGGGTTTTCAATTCATACATTTGGTTGGTAATGATAAATATATGTAGACTTACCAAGTATAAAATCAGGTGGATTGAAGTCAACAATACTAAGACCATATATCATAGGCGGTGACTTACTGCCCGGTCTTACCAGTCCATCGGAGGACAGAGCATCGTAGGCCGCCTGTCATTCCAAATGTAAAGGAAAAAGTAAACAGTACAAATGTGCACAATATAGTAAATAAAATTCATAATTCATTAACTCTTTATAATATCTTTTGTTAGTGAATTAATGCATTCTGGTAGATAACAATATCCCTCAGGTGAGTAATACAAAACATAACCTGCACAGCCATAAAATTCAATCTCAAAATCAATCTTTCATTCATAGGCAAAGAAGAACTTTTCAAACCTGACCTGTGACTGGGGATCTAGACCCAGGAAGTTAACTGCACTTTGCTGATGGGATGATTGGATGGTCATGAGTGCCCTCAGCAACTTGCCCCTCGTCACATGAGTATATCTCGACTTCTCTACCACCTACACATACAAATGGAGACAAAATAAGTGGTGCACAATTTTACTCTGAACTAGTTGTTAAAAAAAATAATTCAAAATGAGAATCATCTTTCTTTACACTTCTAGTTATCAATCTGTTTTCACAATAAAGTATTGAGGTATTGGGTTTATATTTTTCCCCAAAACAAAATGGAATAACGTAAACAATTCATAATAACTTTAACTCACCTTGCCATCATGAAAATGCGTGTCAGTGGATCGTCCAAACTGACCAGAAACTGTATACGTTCGAATTAATCTTCCATCTCTCACAACGTGAGTTCCTTTATTGCCAGAGTTGAGCCCAAGTACACATACACCTGCAGATCAAATCAATTTGTCAATTTTGTTTCATCTTACAACAAATAGTATGAAAATCAGGTGGACAGTATCAAATAAACATTTCTCACCCTACCTTCCTCTGATAGCCTTATTAGTACATTCTCTTCATAAGGAAATAGAGCAGAACTGGTGTTAAAGAAGTTGGTTCTAGGTATACAAAAGCAGGTTGAGGAGCCAAGAAAGACGTTAAGCAGTGAATTTATTGGTAAGAGAGAAAAATTAATCACTGTAGGTTAACAAAAGTACAGTACATAGGAAAGAAAGAATTAATGGATATATGAGAGACAATATGCACCTCAAAGAAATATTTTGAAGAGCAAAAAATTTCCTAATGATGGAAAAGAGGCAACAATTTGATGTTGGAGGATAGAGAGAGGCAAAGGAAAATCAAAGCATGATAAAAAAAATTCCTGTATCTTGTTAACAGCAACACCTCATGTAGGGAATTTTACACCAATTCTGCATTAGGCACCGTCACATTGCAAACCTAGCAGTGTGAACTGTTCTGTATATAGAAACCACTACTTGCTCAAGTTCTCCTAAAGTTACTCTACCACCACCATATAACCAGACGACATCACGTTTTAATGTGTAAGCTTAAATTTCCAACATTTTCCTGGAATACTGTTACCAATCGCCATATTGTAAACCTCACTCTTGAATTGAATTGGCATGACTCTCCCTTTAGGTGTTGGTCAGTGGGCTACACAGGTGCCATCTGTTAGTGAAGGACAATCACTCATGAGTGAAGTTTCTGTCCTTCTCCAATTAATAAAAAAGGGAACTTGAAAAGATCAATCCACTTTCTTTTACCTGAAATATTTTTATCCACATGAAGAGCCCAAGACAGTTTGATGTCTTGTGGTTGATACCTTGGGCCAAGTACCAGTGGATCGTCAGCAAAGTTCCTCTTCTTTCTAACCACCAGACTCTCACCAACACTACCTGTGCACAGTAGGGTATCAAATCACTTTTTGTTAATTATTGTACTGTAAAAACAAACATATCTACTCAGCCACGCCAGCTCCAACCCCTTAACTCTGGGAGGAAGGTACAAGTGTGGTATAAACAAATTGTTCACCCCTGAACATAAAATGCGATGCCATGATCAATCACTAATTTATAGTCAGGGGCTTAAGAAAATGGTCATGTATGTAAAAGGCAGACAAGACCTGAGAGGTGTTGGAAGTTGATCATTTACCAGTAATTAACATACCGGTAACAGCTTTAAGTTCATTTCCATTACTGGGTATTATTATTTTCAACATAACCTAATATAGTACTTAAACAATATATTTACAAACCTTCAATAGATACAAATGGAGTTGCTGGTCGAGGTTTTAACACACTCAGGTCCCGGCAGAGGTTACTTATTACAACACGCCTCAGAAAGCCAATTGTCATGTCTGCCGGCTTGTATACACAAAACACACCCCGAAGCACATTCCATGCTTCTGGAGCATAATGAACAAGCTTTGTCATGCTTTAAAATATATTTCTGCAGATTTAACGAGCAATTAAAACTTGGCTTCACTTGTTTTGTTTATGTGAAAAATTGTTTTGACCTTGGAACATTTTAAAAAAGAAGGTCCTTTTACTTAAGTGTTAAAGGAAGTATTACTGACTTACGTATACTGTATATCAGATTTCCAACCATATTGTTGTAATATACAGTACTGTATATTTCAGTACAGATGAATTTGCAATTTCAGCAAATAAATATCCAGTTCATTATTTATCACAAAACAACATAAAGTCACCACTAATTAATGCATGGCATTTCTGTCCTCTTCATAAAGGAAATATATTGTAACTGGGCCATGGGGTGTGTGTATCTCCTCTTGACAGCTGATAAGCATGGAGGCAGCACACCCATATGCTAAGCAGGGAATACCTGTTGAATAGAGTCAATTTGTTTTCAATAAATCATAGAATATTAAACCTGAAACTAAAACATGAATTATTACCAAAAACTGTATTAAAATTTACCCATGAAATTTAACCGTGAAAATCCTCTCTTGAAGAGTAACAAGATCATTTATAGCCAATTCCTGATGCATTTACAATAAGACACAATAATAAAAGCACCTTTGAACACCCACCTAGATTAATAACTTTTATGACACGGAAAAATCTATCGTCTACTGAGAGATCTTCGTATGGCCTCTTTGAGCAATGGTACTTGATGTATGGCCAACACCCTGTTCTTAATATGTGGTAGTTGACCCCATCAACCTGTAAAGAAAAACATAATTAACATGCATTAGTATTAAACAGACTACCAGCATGTGAATTTAAATTAAAAGCCCAAAGAAATACCATTTGCTTCACATTACACTACAGTGCCATCCAGTAGTTTGCCAGACTTCATTAATTCCACACAATCTTTCAAAGTTTTTTATAGTGAAACATTTTTAACTTGAATCTCACTAATTTACATTACTGATAATTCATACAGGAACAGGAACACCTCGGGTCATGAATGGTTTGGGGAGTGAAGGATCAGCTCATTGTTTGAAAGCCAAAAGCTATTTCCCCTTTGGAGTAATGTAATTAAGGGGGTTAGGTTCTAAGCACCTCACAAAACCCCAATTTTGCTAAGATTTCACCCACTGTACAATAAAGAAATGCAAACACCTGTGACTTTCAAAATACACTGAAGTATTAAGTAAATTACAAATAGTCCTCGCTATAAGTAAGGGATGTGTCCTACAAGTGTTGCCCAGTGAACTACTTTTTAAAGCAAAGGCGATGTTCTCACAGAATTGGAGTTATAATTCGAGGATGAATGACTGGGGGCTGATTTTCACACACCTTCCTCAACCAAAACTAACCCAACTAAATACAAAAGACATATACTGTACTAACTCAATAAACCAATATAGTATATCACTAAATGTTTAATTAATTGAGTATTGTACAGAAAGTCTCTGGGTTATAATTGGATTACAACAATATCAAAAATGCTAACAGATATCCCAACAGATAGCAGTCCAAATAGAATACAAATTTCATTCTAATCTAATGAAATATCTGATAAATTTTATTTTTAAGCACATTAAATAAGAGCCAACCTTTAACATGCTTGGCCCTTGCTTGATGTTAGTTGCGAGCAATTCTTATTTAGCTAAAATTTTTAAGCCAGGTTTAAATATTAATTCTCTTGAAAAAGCAATAAGCATTTTTTCTCTCTAAGTTCTGTACTAGCATATTTTGGAAGATATAAATAAAAAAATTTATATTAAATGAGGATAATAGCAACACCTTGTTCCGTAGCCACCTGTTCCTCATCACCAATAAAATAAAATAAAATTAAAGCCATTTTCCTAATCTTACCTCCCAGTTAAAGTGTGAGTATCCTCTTTGATCACTGGTAACATCTTTGTACTTTACAAAATATGACGTCCAGTGTGGTAACTGTCTTTGCCTCAAGTGAGTGGTCAGCACCAGAGATGCTGCAGGCTTCACCTGTTTTATACTCTTCCACACCCTCAGGCTCTGGCTTACATGCATGGGATCCACTGTAAGATAAATGTTTTTGTTAGCATTTACAGGACAAAACAAGTGGCCCAAAAGAGCCCATATTGCTCAGCAGAAACATGAAATATCTGAGAGGAGAAAGTACAGTGTATATCTGCAGAAATCAAACCACTGTACAAATTGTAATTACCATACCTACATCGTACATGTTAAACTGGTAACACAACACATGAGGGATTGGTCATGAAATTCGATTTTAACTTTTAAAGACACTTGGTTTGACAAGTACCTGCAAGCAGCATCACTTTATCCTCCAACAACTGATAATCAAGGTAAGGTTAGGTTTGGTCTTCTCCACGATTTCTCTCTACTTCAAAGCCCTGCCCACTTTGTGCAATCAAAATTGTTGGTCATATTTCCATAACAGACCATCTTCGACGAAAATGAATATCAGATTTGATTGAAACACCATGAAAAACACTAGAAAAATCTAGTTAAGGCTAATTTTGTTAGTACTGTAGTTTCCGTGGTTGCCACTCTTCTTTACAGTCCCTTGCCATTCTGAAATATATTGAAACTTCCCTCATTTTTTTCATGAATCAATAAATATAACAATCAAAAACATTTTGTGATCTGAAAAGGATCAATTTGAGAACTTCGTTATATTTTCAGCTGTGCCTTGGTCACCTTGGAAAGAACGAGAACCACATTGTATACAAGTATCACTATAGTACTTTATGTGTTATCCTTGGTAAATGTCTAAACAGTATATGTAAGCTTGTATTATATAAATCTTGACTAAATATTAAAGTCAAATCAAAACACAACTTACACTACCACACGAGCCACCACTCTGGGTCACTACATCATTCACTCCAATGTGATATGTATTCGAATATATTCTCAACGAAGGTGTTTGTTTGGCTTTATCATAATTATTATTAGTCATATTGCATATTTTTTATTTTTTAGAATTATTTAATAAAAATTATCAAATAAAAACTAAATATTGGTATGTAAAATGTTGTCTTAATATATTTGGTCGAGTCTCAGATGATAACCGACGTAAACAATAACACAGGACAGAGGAGGGTGGTTGCTGCTAAGATGAACAACAAATCCTCTCCCATACACACAAGAAGTATATATAGAACTGATAAATGACAATGAAGATAGATCCATGTTAGCAAGGAATCTAGGAGTTACTCAATCTTACAGACCTCTTTTGGTATGTAATTTTTTTCATATTAATACAGCCTCCTGGAGAAGTCCAATTATGGGAAAGAAGAAAACGAAAGGAAATGACCCCAAGGAAAAGGTTCGTAATATTTTTTTTTTGTGATGTGAGTTTTGTAATTTATTATATGTGGCTCTCTGTTAGTAAGAGTATGTAAGCTTATGTAATTTTTTAAATATTTATACTGAATGATGTTTTCAGTTGTAGCATGGGATTTATATAGGTCTTGTGTACAGTATACCGTATGTAATGTCTTCATTCAGTCTTCCGTAATTAAACTTTTGCCACCCTTCTCCATCGTGTAATATACTATAAAACAGCCGTGTATGAGGCAGACAGTTCTCAGGATGTAAAAAGTTGATTTTATTATTATTTTTATCTCTAATACAGTGAACTATATGGCTATTACCCTACAGTCTTTGTGAGTATTTATTATTAAATTATGGAGTAGCATAAATGACTAAGGCCAAGAACAGTAAGGGAGGGAAGTGGCGGCAGCCTCCTGATGCACGAGTTAGACAACTAATGTATTGGCAGTGAATGAAGGAAGAGACTATTTACTCTTGATTTAGACTGCTGTAATGTAAACTGTAGTGGGAAAAGTTATGCATGCATAAATAATAAAGAGCATTATTTTATATATTATTCTCTATACATTATTTCAGGCAGCAGCTGGATCAAGTGAAGCTGGCAAAGTAGAAGGCCCTATTACTTGTAACAAATCTGGTAATGTTGTTATACGGATCTTGGCTAAACCAGGAGCCAAGGATAATGGAATTACTGGTAAGTGTAGAATACAGTATTGTATTATGATTAGATATTGTAACTTGGTGTATTTCACATACTTTACATCAGGAGTTTTTAATACAAAAAGCTGGTAGGAGTTTCACTAATAATACAGAAAAATCACAGTCAAATACATAAGTAAATGTTTTAAGTATTCCTGTTGGGTCATTAGTACCTGGAGATGTGAAGACGGATGCTCTAATGGTGGTGGCTGTCATTACAGATAGTTTTATAGTATTGACATAATTTTTCGGGCCAGCTCTTGGTGGCTCACAACGTTGGAATAATTGTACAGTAACATATACTATCTTTTCACAGACGTAAGCCCTGAGGGTGTAGGAGTTCAGATTGCTGCACCACCCACAGATGGAGAAGCCAATGCAGAGTTAGTGAAGTTTTTAGCTTCTTCAATTGGAGTTCGCAAGAGTGACGTAAGCTTAGAAAGGGTGAGTTATTTTTTTTAAATAAATAGCTCAGGGAGAGTACGGACAGGTGACTTATCAAATCTTTTCTTCTTGTGTGTTGCCAAAGACTGAATATATTTTAAACAGGTTGATTTAAATTGATAGAAGTTATACATCTCTGCAATATTGAGTTTAAATCATATGAGTTTACTTTTAACCCCTTTTGTATGGGGGATCTCTCAGTAATGAATAAAATCTGGTTAGCCAAATAAAATATTAAAAGTGGCATCCCATAGTGAAGGGGTTAAAGAAGTACCTACAGATTACAGTGTGTCTGTGATGAAGAAACAGATGGTAATGGTACCATAAAATCTGATTTTACTTATTATTATTATAGGTTATAAAGACAAAAAAAATATGTGTATGTGTTTATGTACAGAATGTACTGTATGTGTTTATGTACAGAATGTACTGTATGTGTAGTATAATACAGCACATGTACTGTAAAATATCTGTTTTGGTACATCACTGTAATTAAATATTTATAAATACAAATTTATATAATTTCTCCTAATTGCATGTTTTTTTTTTTGTTTTTTTTAGGATCCATCTGTGACATACAGTAAATAGAAGACTCACTGTACCTTAAATTCTTTGATTCTCACATTTTTTCTTAATAGCTTATCAAATAATTTAAATTGAAGGCTCATATACTGTACAGGTATAATTATATATTTTGTTGCTTTCTGTTAATAACCTTAAATTTATTCACTAACCACTAATATTTTTCTCCCCACAGGGATCGCGCTCAAGACAGAAAACCGTAACAGTGAGCGGCACAACTGTAGATGATGTTGACAAGATTCTGAGAGGTTTATGTCCGAAATAAGATGATATGATTATGTCCTAAGGAAGATGATATACAGTACTGTTTTATTCTGTCTGCTACATTAAACTTATCTGATTTTTTTAGTACTGTACTTTGTGACCAGTACGATCCTTTATGTCTGTATCCAAGATTACTCTCACAATCTTGTTTTGAATATTATATGGGTTCGCTTTAATTTTTTTTAAAGCAAAACATCATGGTGAACAGGAACAATTGAAATTATGTCTGATAGCTGGGTATATGGGTTTTTAAGTCTCAGTTGACACATATTCAGCCTTCCCATGTAGAAATTTTACCCTGATATTGTATTACGTTTTATATTTGTTACTGATGATTCTCGTGATTGAAGAGTCTTATGGTAGGCCTAGATATTTCAGTAAAGTTACAGCTGAAATAGACTTATAATCATATGAATGTAAAGGTTGTAACTCTCTCTAGTCATCTTTTGTATCCAAATAATATTGTTTTAATGTTGCAAGATGCCAGGAAAGTTTGTTATCAGTCAACCTATTAGCTTCTTTATATCTTTACCTGAGAGGAAAAGTCACTGTCATCATCATGCAATAGTTGATATTTTATGATGGTGGCAGTGACAGAGATGAAGAAATAGAGCTCTCCAGTGTAACATCTTTGTGGACAACACAAGAATTAGCCAAGGTATTGACACCCAAGATATATACTGTACAAGACCTGCAGTGGGACTTGAATGAAATCTACAGTTGGGCCAAAATTAACACCAAATTCAATGAGGATAAATATTACTGTGTGGGAAAACAAACTGGAGGAAAAGACCATAAAACTAGTGAAGTGAATGTCTAAAAGTTTTTTATTTACCTTCGTGATGAGAGAACCAGGTCATCTGCTGCTGATATGAAAAATAGTCTTATTGAAGATGGAGTATGTTTCCCAATTATGTATTTAACACATTAGGTAATAATGAAGAACTTGAACAAATGCTGCCCTCCCTCCTGATTACCTCACACCAGATTTGAATTAAGAAGATAGACAACATGATCTAAGCACATATTACGACTGTAGGCTAAATATTGCGTTAAACACTTCCATAAATGTAAACATACCTACACATACAAACTTGCAGCAACTCCAGACCACGCACGAAAGTTACAATTAGATTCGTGGACAACATTACCCCAAACACTTAACTTTGCATCAGGACTGAGGTAAAATGTGCTCAAGTTACTACACATGGGTTAGGTCGCTACCGTGACAAGACCAGTTATTTGACTGCTGGAGCTGCTTTGCTTTCACACACACACACTCTCTCTCTCTCTCTCTACTCATTTACTCAATCACAACAATCTTACATTTACCCCCACTGCTCACAACACAACTCGAGCTCACACACAATACAACTTCACACCCACTCACAACACATCACACACCACCCACAACACATTAACATACTGCAAGACGTATAAACAGTATTAGTGCAGCAGTGATAAACCCCTTAGATGACCTCTTACATCACACCTTCCCGCTATTCCAAGTATTCGAGACACTTTACCAACAACACTTCCTCCACACCCCACGCCCTGCTCATACGAGGGACACTGACCATATAGACAAATACATTTAACACCGCGATACTCATATGGTCATAATAATAGGGAAATGTTGACAGAAGTGCCCGTCAAAACCCGCTAACTGCCAATACAAGTAAAACGTAAAATCACCACCGAAATAGACAGAACACTGGACCAATTGTACTGAACAATAACCAAAGCCACGAACAAACATTCCAACTTATTTGTACTGTATATGTTTACCGTGCTTCCCCTACAGTTAACTAACCAATAATAAAAATGTCAGGCAGATCAGATCGAACAACCTTCACTACACTTTACAAACACAGTACCTATAAAATTTCTATGTAATTGATAACTTTATGACCTCGAGTAACTATTGTTTCTCACATTAAGGTTTGTGTGCCCCTAGTATCTTTATTCTTTTGTGCACATTGTGTGCTGATCTTAGCGTTTGCAATTCTTTACTTTTGTGCGTTTAGTATTCTAGACTTATTCTGTCATTCAGTTATAGAGTCTTCTGCTTTTTATCTCATGTTTTTCTGCTTTATAATGGGTAAAGGGACAACATTGGTTGTCGAGTAGTTGAGTGGCAGCATAAGCTGGCGGCTGAGTTGCCAACATTTGTTTTGATTCCTTCAGTCGGCGGGTGGCCGTGAGACAGAGAGGACGTGATTGGCACCTGATCCCCCGAGCAGGGTCACTGTGAAACGTGTTAGTGTCTTTTGACAGTGCATTATTATTGAAGTGTATGACTGTAGTGAAAAAGATTACACAATTACTCCCGCCATGTCTTGATTTTGGTGAATGACAAATGTCGATTCCAAATTTCATCAGCATTGACCATTGACAATTTTTGTCTTAGATAAACGGACTCCTTTTTGGTTATTGTGTAGTTTTGAAATAAAAATTAGAAATATAAATTAAAACAATGATTCTAAAGTGGAGTGATAAGCATACACAATAAATAACAGGACAGAAGTTATTAAGTTTCATACGCTGCCCAAGTTATTGTGTACACGTCAAAATGTTGACTGAACGATTATTTGTGTGGGTGACCCTACTGCTGCAGCTGCCTCATGGTATGTAATGTGAGGGAAAATAATAACCCATTTACAGGTATAGTTGCTCGTGCTTATTTATCAAGAAATTGTAATGTACTGCATGTTAAAATAATCTGTAGAATCCATTTCTAAATGGTATTTGTCATTCTCCCCGGCTTCGGCGAATTGACAAAAGTCATCAATGATCCGTTTGATTTTACCAGGAACTAACTACAGCGCGATACACCGTGTATTCGTGTAGCAGTGCTCACTGGAAAATAGGCCACCGTTTGCATGATGTTTCCTAACCAAATGTGAAGTGATAGGAATAGTAAATCCTATTCTAAAATGATTTCTAAGTGAGGAGTGTTTGAATAACTGTATATGGTCTTAATAAGCGCCTGCAAATTTATTGTTATTGTGTATGTATTATTAAGTTATAGAACTTAATAACTTTATATAAAAAATATGGTAATGATGCAGTTGACAGCAACCTATACGCAGTGAATATAACTTGAAGTCATCTATAGAAATATGACAGCCGTTCTACACTACAAGAATAAGGGTTGTGTGCAGAAATGGACTCAACTCATTTTGGTATATTCCTGTAACTGATGTGGATGAATAATTTTATGGTACATTAATTTCCTAAAAATGAATCACGACAATAGTTTTCTGTACAGGCTATAACTTCCCATATATGTGGCAGACATCCGCTCCATCTCTTGACAAATTCCTTCTTCTCTCAGCCGAAGTGTATGACAACTGACACTTGTTTATTGGTGTATATGCACAACTCTTCTCCCGTAAAGACTTTTGAACCGGACGTTAGAGAGAATTCTTGACGAAAATGCGAAGCGTAGGACTCAAGGGGGGGGGGGCGGGGGTGGTGGTTCGTAAAATATAAAACTGTTCTTGGGGAGCGTCATCTTGTAGTCCATGTAGCGTGTAAGGCTGGTGATCACAGGGAGTAACTATTCAAAACCTCCCCAGTTCGCTCTGTATCATGATGACAGACGCGAACATTACTTTATACCACGATATGTAAAGAACGCTTGTCAGAGGCAGAAGTAATCCCGGTGTCGCGTGCAGAGATTATACCTATATGAATGTTTGAGCATGTGCAGTTCAATAAAACTAAAACTAACCTAGCCCTTTATTCTGAGGGGCAGTATCAGCACGCTTCAAGCTTTCAGTGATGTTTTGATAGAACTGCGCATGCCCAGAACATTTTTAACATGGTAGAATCTCTGCAGTACGTGACACCGGGCATTGCAGCCTCCACGAACTTCGATCTTTTTTTCACGGAAGATCAATCATGTGTTTGTTTATATTTACTGAGATTAGTAAACTGTGTTGGATTTATTAATCACAATGTTACAGGAGTTTTGCAGTTGAAATGTGCTCATGGTCGTTAACTAGATCAGTGTCAGATAGGAGAATGGTGTTGGTGTTTTAGTCTCTTAATTCACCCTTATTTTGCCAGTGATATTATTAACTTGATAGTAGATTTGAGGTCTTTGACTTGTGTGCGTGTGTAGTGAGGGCAGAGTCTTCGGGGATGAGTAACTAGCTTACTTTGGATATATTTGATTGTGGTGCCAATAAAAAAAAATTAATCCCCCACATTCCTCTCTTCTTTCTTGTCCACCGTTATCAGGTGACTCAAGATTTTCGTTGATATATACAGTAGTTTCTCTCACCGTTACATGATTTATATTAAACTGTTAGTGAGACTTTTGGCCCGACACGGTTGATTAAATAGTTGTCTTTTTTCTTCATCTCGACCAGTGTATCTTCCTTAACATGGTGTGGTTGGGGGATAATGTAGTGTGTGTGGGATCATAATTTGTCGGTCTCCAAAAGTTAGTAAAGTCACCAACTGAAAGACTATTAACGGTGTGTGTAGTATATACCGGTATATGGTGATGTGCCAAGGTGGCTTCGTTCCGAGGATTTTTGGCAAAGTTAAAGCCTCTGTTCTGTAATAAATCACAATTTGTTTTTCTCTCAAACTGATTAGCTGATTAATGACTACCGATAAACAACCCAGAAGACGTCCATTTTAATTTTGCAGCCTTTATCCTCGTAAGAAAAGTGTATCAAAGAACACCCTAAGATGAATCAAAGAGAGTTGGTCACCCTGACGAGGTCTGAGATTTCCTGTAAAAGAAAAAAAAATCGAATGAAATTTGCTTGGAATAAAGTCATCAATCCCTAAGCTCTGGGACACCCTGTACATGCTCTCGCTTGTATATTTGTTATTCATGTCATCGTTACTTAATATTTTCACTTACATGCCCAGTGACATTTCAATTGGAGGCTTCCGCAGTGGTTAGGACATTAGAGGGACGTTAAGATTATGAAGGTTTGTTATTTTTGAGTTAGAAGTTACAAAGAACTCTATATTTGTACATATAAGAATGTATTAATAGTAAACGCTTATTAAGGTCCTGTATATAGGGGGTAAATAAAAGTTCCCATTTCGGCTATTTATTCAAGACTGTCAAAAGATCACACGTAATTTCTTAGTCGAGTGACACAACCCACGAAAAAGTACACTGTTCCATGGTCTTTTTGTTGACTTGTAAAACACTCCTCTCCTGCTGTCTCAAAGGGGCGCGGCAGATCTCATTTGAGCGAGCCGCTGATTGGCTAAAGACGAGGTTTGTGGGTGTGGCTCCCGAGGTGAGGATGTGTGTGTGTGTGTGACGACGATTTTGTGCGTTTTCGTGTGAACGTATTTACGCGTATGCTTGTATATAATTGTGTTTATCAATGTTTATGTAAGATGCTATTTCGGTTATTGTATGGATGTATAGCGGTATCGTATATGAAAAAAAAACGGACAGTAGCCCCGATTATATATTAAACATGACTGGAGCCTGACCTTTGGTGCAACTTTCCTTCCTAGATTACATAAAAAATATTTGTTGGGAAATAAGTCTTGTGGTCAGGGTACACTGCCCTCCATAACAAGTTTTTATTGAAGTGCCGACATTATCACTCGGCAGGGAACGCTATTTTTCACATTTAATCATTTCTCTTACAAACGGTTATGATCATTCACCAATTACCTGATTTGTAAGATTAGTATTCTTGCACCTAGGCCTAATACTCCTGAATTAATATATTATTATTACCAGGAATTATTAACACTCGTAATATCTATCATTATCTCTATGCAAGTATCACGAGAAAAATAGCTTCTTTAATATCTTGAGA